GTGTGTGTGTGTGTCCGCAGCAACTTGTCCGCAACTTTCAACTCGGGAACCATAAAAGCTAGGAAGTTGAAGATTTAGTGAAATGTTCCTCACCAGCGTGTGACCTCGCAAATTTAAGTGCATCCTTCCGGTACCCGACAGTACCAAGTACGGCCCCTTAAAAATTTTGTCGGGGAAATTGTTACTTCGAGAACAACGGAAGCTAGGAAGCTGAAATTTTTGGGTAATGGCCTCCTCCCCACGTACGACCTCGCATGTTCAAATCCAGTGTTCCCACGCTATCGGGTATCACCTACTGTCCCGTAAAACTTTTGGCGGGTAAATTATTATCTCGGGGAGCACGGAAGCTGAAATTTTATGAGTATGTCCGGTGTCTACGTGCGACCCAGAAAATTTAAATTCAGCATTCCCATGCCCAAGTGTAACATATAAAGCCCAGTGAAACTTTTGTCGGGTAAATTATCTCGGGAACCGCGGGATCTGGGAAGCTGAAATTTTAAGGATCTGCTCCTTGTCCGTGTGCAACCCCTCAAACTTAAATTCAGAGTAGTGAAAATCATTAGGAGGCAATCGTTCAGTGGACGAAATTGCACAAAACGCATGAGCGCACCTACTGCCGTTGTGGACGCTGCTATTAATTTTTGTTAAAAATATTTGAGTAACAGAAAGAGTCTGTTCGCGTGATACTGTTTTGTTGTTCTTCATTTTTTCTAGACACCAGTTTATGACAAGCCGACTGTAGCAGCCAGGTTGACCGCGGAAGTCTAAATGGCAAAGGCGCGATAGATTACAGCATGATAGAACAGTATGAGAGGAGGCAGTACTGTGTGGCGTGTTTGACCTAAAAATGAAGCAGAAAGAAATCTGGTCTGTAAAATTTAGATGAATGAAGCGGAGCGGAAGCGTGCTGATCGAATTGCAATGATGCGTCTCAAGATGAACACCAGGCAGTGCAGTGTAAGATGGTTTCTTTTTTAATCAGGTTGATTTGCTTGATAGCATTTTCCTAATACCCATCAATTAGTTTGTCATCTTCATTTTTCATATGACTTAATGGACCGAAACGTCTTATCTCGCTCTCACCTTCCTCAATCTACACTACTACTTTCTCTTACTCCTTCACACTTTGCCATCTGCACTGGAGGCTGCAGTCTGCTTCACATTGATTCATTGATACTAATGATACTAGAAGACGTATTGGAAAATATGAATTTCTAGATTATGGACTTCCAAAAAAGTTTTTGCAGTAATATCACTAACATGGAATATCCAAATTGATAATCCGGGCGGTTTTGGTTTTTGGCAAGAAATGCATACGATTTAATAGACCGAAACACTTCTTACCATTATAATAATCTCAAAAATTTTCTAATTTTTATTCCTCATCTTTTTTCTTTTTTTTTCTCCTTCCATTTTTTCCCATCATAACTTTCTTTTTCTTGATCAAAAGTTATTTTTCTTCTCAATTCAGAGTTTCGAATAATTTAAACCTGTGCTTGATATTTTTTGCTTATCACACAGTTTTAGCATTAAAAAATATTTTAAAAACCATTCGGAAATTGAACAGATAGTGTGAGAATTCCATGTCAGAATACACCTACAAGCCGAGCGCGGTAGTTCCAGACTTTTTGGTCATAAGGTACCCATCGCCTGCTCGATCTATCGCATTCTTTTTCGCAGATTCTGTTGACTGAGATGCTATTTCTGTCGTTTGTTAGCCAGAAATTTTTATATATTAAGTTTTAATTGGCAAAAATTTTATTTTTGCTGATTTGGCCTGTTATTGTTAGATATGTTTATGCATCGCTGTTCATAATCTACCCAAGTGGTCACGTGCTTTTTCGCTTATTTTTTAGCAAGTTTTAAGATTTTAAGCTTTAATTGGCAAAATTTTTACTTTTTCCTAATTTTACCTATTACTGTTAGATAACACGAGATTTTTGTTGCTGAAGCAAATTTACAATTTTAATTTTGCAGATCCCAGCTGCTGAACAAATGTTTCTATTCTTGGTTGAAGAGGACGGAAAACGAAATCCAGTGATGATCTCCAGAGTATGTTTATCTTGCCTTGAAAAAGACTTCAAGAAAATTTACTTACCACGCAAAAATCAGCGAATTTTCCATATTTTTTGCTACAACAGTTTTGCCGTTCTTTAAAAAATCCGACTAAATTTGCAGCATTGGACGATTGGACGATGTGTCGATCACATTGCGAAACAGTTTGCTATAACAAATCATAATGCTACTTTTGGAGCAAAGGTATTTTTTCAGTCGCTCTGAAGAGCAATTGAATACACGCGAAGTTTTTTTATATTCCTAGAAGGCGCGGTCGTGAGGGAGAGCAGGGAGGAGGGGTGTGGGAATGAGGAAAGCTGAAATTGCTAAATTTTTTAAAAGAGAGGGAGTATTTTCGGTGCTAAGATTTTAAATGAACTAAACGAATTGGTACTCACAGTTTGGCAAGAAAAGTGGGGCTTATCTAATAGCTTTGTATTTTTGGAATGGAATGCACAAGACTGTAGTTGGATAGGTAAGAATTTGGGGGGGGG